TGTCCTGAGTCTTGGTGCCCTCTGAGGGGGGAGGATGCTGCAAGGACACCCCACCCAACACAGCTGGCTCCTCACACGGCACGAAACCAAGCCCACTGTGCTGTTTTACACCCATGTCTTTAAAATGTGCCTTTTTCAGTAAGCACAGTAAACCCACCATGTGTCTGGTTCTGCACGCTCTCAGGACTTTCCAGGAGGCACAAGTGGGTGGGTACCTCTGTGGAGCCTGCTGGAGGACAAGGATCCAAGGCCTCCAATTACCCTCTAAGTCCCTCTCAGCTATGGAAAAGCTGGTGAAAAACTAGGATAGGACAAGGCTTCATCAACAAAGGTTGTCTTTATTAAAAGACTTGTCATTCTCCCACTCTCCAGAGGGAAGAACACACCTCAATCCCTCATGGTTCTTCTCCAGCCCTTAAGACCCAATTTCCTACCCACAGAATTGAGGGCCTGAATTTCATCCCAGTGGGACACTGGGGCACAAAGAGACCCACGGTGCCCTTGGTTCTGCCACATGCCACAGGATAGAGCCCAGGGCAATCATGAGCCACCACCTTGCCAGCCTTCTCATCTCCAGGCACTAGTTTTGCAAGGACATAAATGTTCCCTGTGGAGAAGCCTGAAAGCCTCAAAAGCTTCTTGCTGCCCCAAAATGTGATGAAACCCATCAACTAAGAGATGCTGGAGCAGCAAGAAGTCTTCCCATCACTTTCATCACTGAATACTTTCCCTATAGCTGCATGCTCAAATTTTGTCAGCCCATTGAAAACTTTGCCTACACAACCCCATGTGACTCTAGTGCTCTGAATGATTAAGAGTTTGATTAGAAAGGTGCAGCAAGAGAACCAACTTTCCATACAGCTCACAGCATATCCTAGGGAATATTAACCAGGAAAACGGATTCATGCCTGCATTCCTGGACTCGGCTCTGTGCCTTACTTCCCTTTCAGCTGCATTGCATGTTCTTCAGCTGACAGTTTCAATGTCCACACATGTGCATGTCTGTTCCTTAAAAAATTAATAACCAGACATCATGTGACCTGTCTTATGTCAACCACCATGTGGTTTAGTGATCTTCCTCTGGGACTTCTGCAAACTTAAGATTCCATGAAAATTAAAAAATTTTTGGAGACTAGATAACTTGTTATCATGGATACACAGAGGCAAACACTGAAGTCAAATATGTTATCGAGGGGATGGGGAATCACATTTAACATTTCACTTTCTAGCTCCATGTCTTTGGTCTACCAGAAGAAGGGCTTAATGAAAGACGTAGTTAGGATTTTGTTATTCAGACATGTGGTGCACCTCATAAATGCAGAGCTGTGGTATGCAAGAAATCTGCCTAATCATGTTGTTTATTATTTTATTAGTGCTCATATTTCAGCTTTGCAATTAGCCTAAACATCTGGCCAAATAAAATAGTAATTAAATGTATGAGGCTGGCAGGTCAAATACACTTCCATATGTCCTCTTCCACCAACAGAAAACAACCAGGAGTGTTTAAGAAAGTACTGCAGGATGTGAGAAGGCACTTCTCCCAGAAGTTTTAATTTTATCTTCGTGCTTAAAAATAAGTTCTGTTGAATACAGAGAGAACTTACTGTGTGTGGTTGGATTTGATAAGTTGTCTGGGTGGCCAAGGAAGTGTTTAACAGAGGCAATACTCCCTGTATGTACAGATATCCTCTTTATGCGATTCTACTACACTAATTATATTTCAGTGCATGGATTCAACTACCTTTTGATTTTAATTAACATTTTCTCCCTTTGATAAATTTAGGGAGGTTTTGTTGTACTCTAATACACCCAAATTACAAGAAGCAATATAGTTGACAGCTGCTGCACTCATGAAACATTTTAGCTACATCTATTTTTTCAGACAGTATCTGCTCCAGTTTTACTTCTGTTTACTTCTCCTCTGAGTCACACCTTGCTGTCCCAGAGGAACAGCTGCCCTCCTGCTCAAGGAGGGAAGAGCTGTGTGACTGTGGAAGTGAGTCCCTCCCTCGGTGTCAGATGGAGACCACAGACTCTGACTGTACCGATGGACTTCAGTATTCACAAGAGCTCTCCCTTGTTAACCCAAGCCATGCTTGAAACACATCTTAGAAAGCAAATATGCAGGCCAGAGACAAGCACTTCCTGTATTCACCAGGGCAGCCCTCATGACAACTAATCAGATACAAATCATCATCAGAATGAAAGCTAGGATGTTTTTCTGCGTGCTAATAAGCACAAGGGTCTCTCAGCAGTGGGCAGCACACTCAAGAAGGCACTGCTTGTGTTGGTGTCAGAGCTGTGCTCTCCAGGATGTGTTGTCTGTAGTTTGCCCTTGCTGACCCTTGGAGGACACAATTTCCCTCAAGATGAAGCTGGCTGTGGTGGCCTCTGGCTTCTCCCTCACATACGTGCAGCAAGCACATGGAGTGGGGACAGTCAGGAGATGGACCTCAGAAATACATTCCCGGTGGGAAGGGAGTGGCATCTGCTGCAATCCTTGAAGAAGGCAATGCTTTGCCTGATTTGTTGAATAGTGAGGCAAGAAAAAGGTTTGTGTAAGGTGAAATCAAATGTGGTCATGGTTACACATGAGTAGGATCAATTATCATCCAATTTTAAGCTGTGAAGGAATGCCCCCTGAACCTCCACTGGAGGCTAGGAACAGCAGGTAAGGAGACTCCTCACACATACTTCTTTTATATGTCAAAACCCACTGTCAGTGTGCTCTGCAATGCTCCATATCAATTTCTAGATATATCAAAATTAGGTCAGTTTTGTTTCTTGGGCTCTCAGATGAGTCCTGATTTTTCCTGATGACATCCCACTAGATTACTAATACACAGACACACCATACTCACCCCAACCACAGCCTTGAAAGAACAAGAAAAGGAGAGGAGCAAAGCCCAGCCCTTGCAGAAGGCTGTCCCAGAACAGGAGTGCTCCAGTGCCAGCAGCCACCTGGCACTGCTCAGGGGTTGCTCACAGCTTTGGGGGGCCAGGACTGGGGCATCCCATCTGTCCCTGTGCCACACAAAGGCCTGAGGCAGTGAAGGGAGGGAGGGATTAGTCATTCAGTCATCTCACATCTTGCTACATCCTGTCACCTCCCAGGTGCTTTCCTGCCACATAATTATTCCAGTGAAGACAGAGATTGTTTATTTTGGTTTAAAGTTTTGCAGCTTGGTCCACACCACAAAGTATGAAAAGGTTTACTAACAATTCCACCTCCACCTTTTTCCTGCTCTTTTGACCCCAGCTGTGATGAATATTGCACTGAAAAATGGTCTCTGTTTCAAAAGGCTCAGTTAATCTGATCATAAGTCCATGTGCTGTCTCTTCGTTCTTTGGTAGGTAACAAATGACTGTGATGAAAGGAAAGGATCTGGTGATCTGCCAGTAGTTCTGACAAGGAGAGCAGCAATAAAGAGCCATAAACCACAAAGGTTTCCAAAGGGCATGGTGTAAAATCCTTACTACAAACCAACCACAACTCTGTAATGATCTGCCTAAATAGCTGTCCAATCATTGTTTAACACTTTTGTATCAAACAATTAGCTCAAGAAGCTGGTTTATTTTAATTAGCCAATCAATATTTTTCAGTATTTTTTCTGTTGATCCTGAATTTCTAACCTTCCTGAGACTTCCCTGAGTAACCCAGGAAACTTCATGTTATTTTTGCATTAATCTTTCACGTGTCTTAATTTTTTATTTTTTATTTTTTTTTTTTTACAATAGCTGAAACAGAACTATGTTGGAAAAGAAAGGTGGAAACAGCCAAGAAAGTTCAGCCAAAGTGGATCTGAGCAGGATTTAAAGCCCAGCCCTGGTCACATGCTGAAGAAGAGGAGGGCAGTTACTTGGCTCAAGGGGCTCCCACCATGCCACCATTCCAACTGCTCTGTAAACTGCTTCCAGCACAACCAGACAAATCATATTACTTCTACTTTTGATACTAAGTCAAAAGCTTATTGTAGACATGGTCATCATTGTTTCTTAACTTTCAACCAATCTGGGGAATTGTTTGGATGTAGGTACCTAGGGCACTGCACAAAAAGATGTATCTGAGAAGATAAGGAAAATGGATTTAATGTCTGTTCATTCAGCACATGAAGGTGTAAAACAGAGTACTCCTCAGAGAAGGGATTATTGGTTCTACTTGTTCTGTTTTATGATGAGCACTCAGAGCGTGGAAGTGTTTTATGAAAATGTTATTTCTAAATGCGCCTGCCCCAACAGCCACAGCCCTGTTAGGTAAGTACACGTAAAGATCAGACTGAATCTGTACTAAAAAATAGTTTTAAGGTTTATTTTTTATTGAACCTGGCAGAACCTTTGTTCTGAAGTGTTTGTGGAGCCTGTGCTGGGCACAATTTTTTTTAAATAAAGCCTTTCATCTCCCTAGATAAAACCACACCAAAAATTCACATACACAGGTTTAAAGAAGACTATGTCAGTGAGTGTCTATACAGACAGGAAATATTTGTGCTTAAGTCAGAGTCTGCTGTCACTAATGCTTTACCAGACAGCAAAGGCTGGAAATGATGGTGCCCCTGAAATTCTAGAGCTGTAATTCTGGGTGAGGAATTTTATGCTGAGCAACACAAGTAAGACAACACATTTAAAAACCCAACATGTGAATAGTCCATTTATTTAAACAAAAGACTCTTCTACCATAAGGAAGTTACAAGAGAGATTAAAACAAAATGAATGAAAATTAATCATAAGTAACAAATATCTTCGCAGAGATATACTCTTGCTGAAAAAAGGTTTATGCCTTCTCACACGTCTCCTAGAAGGCAAATGAAGACATAAACCATATCTCTCTGTCTCACACGCTCTCACACAGTCTCACAAGTTACAGGAAATGACATCAAGCCATTGAGCACAAACCTAATTCCAGAGTACACAATGATTCACACATTGACGTGGTTTTGTGAGTATTGACAATGTGAAAAGTTAGATCCAGGAAAAGTTAGATCCAGCTCTGCACATAAAAACTACCAGCCCTGGTAGATGGGAGAGCTTCTGGTTAATCTCTCGTCACTGCTGGTGTTGCCTTCAGACAACATGCTTATGGCCTCATCAGTCTGCTGGCTGTCAGTTGTCGAGATCTTCTTGGAATCATGGATGTTGCTTTGGTAGTTCACTGGTGAGGGATAGGCATTTTCCCCCACAGTTGATGAGGACAAAGATTCCCAGGGTATTTCTCTTTTTCGCCATTTCAGGTCCACTCTGCATCCTGTCCAGCCATAGAAAGCTAATGTGAAGAGAAAGCCCTGCATGGGATTAAGAACCCCCTAGGAAAGAGAAGTGCAACAGGAGTTACACCAGCAAGGAAGGCTTCATCCTCAACTCCAGCAAAATGCTTTGCATGTATTAAAAACTTCCCTCTCAATGAATGATTGCTGACTTTAAAATACTATTTGCATGCAAATAAAAACTTAGCCTTCACAGACACAAATCAGAGATAAGTACCATGACGTGTTTTCCAAAATGTGGAGGCCATAACAGTGAGCAGTAAGCACAAAATTATTTTCTAGCATGAAGTTTCGCCAGTCAATCCCTTGGTGTGTTTTTAACTTTCCCCAGAAGCTCTAGACTTTTTTATGCACAAAATCACATATATTTTTCATTACAAGCCAAGTCAAATATATGAGAGGAGACACTAGCATAGACAGTCAAGCTTTTAAAAATAGCAGGAATTGATCTGTCTGGAATTGCTTTGGATTCTTGAGCCAGTGAAAACGTCCATCAAAGTGGGATTGAAAAAATGGGGAGAGGCACTGAAAAAGAAAATCCCAAGTGATTGCCAAAAAAATTGTCTCTGTTCCCAGTGCCCTGAGAGGCTTAACAAATTAATGGCTTTTGATGCTTCTATTTTTCTCATAGGAAAAGAATGAAATTATTTTTACAGACAATTTAAAACATAGGTCAGTCCCCAGACTTGACCTCTTGTTCTTCAGGTGAGCAGGAGCAAGTCCTTGTCACGTGAATGTGTTCAATCCTTGTCAGAGGAGAAGGTTGTATCACATCAGTTGCATTGCTTAATCCTTCAATACCAAACTGCTCAAACCCTTAATTATACAAATCATGCTCAGGCCTTACACCTATTTAACAACTCCAGAATAAATGCTCTAGAAAAATGAATCTGCACTGTCACCTCTGAAAAATCCCCTGTCAAATATTCTAATTGGAGAAAAGAGGCTACAGTAAGAGACCAGCATCTCACAGCTATTTTTGGCAACTTGTGTGAAAGATTTTTCACCTGTTTGTGCCCAAATAATGATCCAAATGTCACGACAAAAGATGCAATCATTCTTTATAATATTTTTTTAAAAGAACACACTAGCTGCAGAGAGAATTTCCATGAAATGCCCATTTAATTGAGAAACCTTCAGGAACTGTGAGCTATAACTTTGCAGCTTGCATTATGGCAGAGTTTAGCAAGGTTAGGCTAGAAATCATTATAGTTATCTGTTCTGGATCTTAAAATGGGTACTGATCTCTCACAGAGAGAATGCATACTCCAGTAAATGGGAGAAAAAGCTGGCCTCTAGGACATTTTTGGCAAAGTTTACATGTGAAAAGCACTCCCATGGACTGCTCATTCCTTTCTTTTACTTTCTACTTTTCTTCCTTGATTTATAGTATAGTGTTTATATCCCTCAAAATCAAAACCCCAACACTATACTGGTGTTGTTCACCAGTCTTACAACAGTGATTTCTAAGACTAAGCAATGTCACAGCTGACCCACCATTATAATCCAGGTGATCAGTGCAGCACTTCTGATGTTTTTCAGGGGCATTTCATTGATATCTGGCTGCATTTCAAGATAGAACAAAAGGGTCTCGTTGATGATATTGGATGACCAGCTATGGGAGGAGCAAAGAACAAAAGAGCAGTTACATAAGGATGTACATGTAAAATATGCTTTACCTTCAAATTATAGAAATTAAAATCACTTTAGGGACAGTACATTTTTTTTTAATCATAAAATCATTAAGGGTAGAAAAAATCTCTAGGATCAAGTCCAAGATGTTTGGATTTCTTGTTAAATCTCAATCGGAAGGGACCAGTAGGTCTGTGAGATCATGATCAAGGTCCGCACACCTACCTACTCACCCAGGCCTAGACAATATATATCAATATAAGAAAAGATCTGATAATTTTAATTTGCTGCAGAACAGTAAATTGCAAAATAAAATTGAGATGAGAAGGACCTGTGATCAATAATGGGAATATCATGCATGCTGACTTTTTCGCTTGTGCCTTAGAAGAGTTGTGCTCACAGACAAGGAACCAAATATATGCACATGCTGTTGTGAAAGGCTGCAGGATTTCCATCTGGAGTTGGAATTTCAGGGTTAGATTAAAGACTTCCAAAATGTCCATTAAAAAACACCAAAAAGCAACACAAAAGTTGACTTTTAAGTCCTTGAAAATGCTAACAATTATTTTGAATAAAGGTAGTATCTGTTTCCAAATAAGGATGAGCATAATCAAGCCTCATTCATCGAAAGAAACCGAGTATGTTCTACACTAAGCAGAGATTATAGCAAATGGCTGTAAGTCCCTATGACATCTAAACAGTGAGAGAAGCATTTCTTGATATCTGTCCTGCAGCTTCAGAAAAGAAACCATCAGCATTCATGTCATACTTTCTAAGGGCTTTTATATATGTCCTTTGCACAATTATATTTTTATCATAATGTAAAGCCTCCTGCACTCCCCTCCCAAATCTGTAGGCATCTCTTCTATCTTGTGTTGCCCCAACCTGCTGTCTTTGACTGAAGCATTCCATATTTGACTTCTCGGATGGAGGAAAATCTTCCCTATGCTTCTGAGATGAGACTGCCTCAGTCTTTCCCCCCTGTAACCTTTGAGAAAGCTCTTACACTCCAGAGCTTATGTTTTATTAGAGAAAAATCCTAAACCAGAGCTGTGATTTTATTTTTTATTAGGAAAGTCCAGGAGGAGACATAATGGAAATAAACAAATGTCCCCACGATGGCCATGAGAAATTGGCCTTTGCTTTCATGCTTGTTCCCAGATAATCAAGCTGGCCACCATCCCTTAGGTTGCAACTCACTTCTGTGGTGCCTCTGGGCTCTTTCTTTCCACAGCCCTGTGAGCTTGGCTGAATCTCTGCTCCTTATTATTTCAGCAGTTTCCAGGAAGCCATGCTGCAGGATCCTTCGCTGCTGTCTCTCACTCCCTCCTCTGCTGGCTACCCCACCCTTCACATTGGAAACTTCACTTCCAAGCCAAGCGGACTGTTGTTCCCCCAAAAAAGACAATCATTTCCTTTCAGAGCACTCCAGCAGACAGCAGCAAAGAGAAGATAAAAGAGGCAGCCTTTCTCCCCACTCAGCCTTTTAAAGCAATCTAACATGCATTAATGCATCCGTGCATAAAAAAGTTAACTAGTGTTAGAGACTGCTAAATTTGACCCACCCATTTCACTGCTCCAGAACCATTTCTTGTTGTCCCACTCTTCTCCTCCCTATCTCTTTTCTGTCCTATGCCAAAGTACTATTTTCATGTGGGAAGATAGAATGTTAAAAAAATAATAAAATTTAAATAATAAGAAATTTTACACACAATCATTCTTTTCTGGCATTTCCTTATTTTCCAGACACTATCCATGCTTTTTTTTAGGCACTTGAAAACTGCAAAGCACAGAGGTGACTGCACTGTATGATCATAGTCAGAGCCATGAAGCCAGATTTAGAAGCATATTTACTGTAGGTCCACAGTGATGTGTTTTGTGCCAAGAGGCTCTGAGAAATGTTCATTACAGAAAGCCATTTATCAGCCCACAGAGCTGGGAGCCTGCTGTACCAGACAGCTTCAGCCGATGCCCAACCTACTGGGAATTTTTTGCTATTGTTTCTTGTTGCTTTTGCTTTTCTGCTGGTTAAACGTTTTATCATTTCCTCACAGCCTTGTGATGTTACAGGAGTGATTCAGCTCCTTTGTGAACTAGTTTAGAACTGCTTCTTCCTTAGATACCTTCCCTTCCAAGCATAAAGAAAAACAAATTAAGCAAACCATCTTTACTCCTGTCCCTGACTCTCTCCCTCTGGGAAAAATGCACTTTGAAACAAAATAATGCACCTCTTACCAAATAACAAATACCAGCATAATTTTGAAGAAGCGCATCTGGATCTCTGTCCCCAGACGTCTTTCATTCTCTGTGTAAATCCCTTGTCTCCCTTTCAGTAAGGAGGCAACTGAAAAGTATACAATTGTGTTCATTAATATACGCACATCTTGTTAGTTTAGGCACAAAATCCACAAGATAGAGGCCTGAAAGAGGAAACAAAGGAATGGATGGATTTGTTTCCAGCAGCTGTTCAGAAGCTGGAAGGACCATTTTCAAGGAATCTCACATATAGCCTAGTACTAAAGGAAAATAATTACACACAGCTGGATTCCTAAAATGAAAGAAATCCCACTTAATTTTTTTTTTCTCTCAATCCCACTGAAAATATGAAATAGTATGATCAACATAATTCTATTTTATAACAAAAGGTAGCATGAACATTCTATAGAATGTGTGATATAATTATACATTTATTACGTGATGTTTAAATAGAATCTTCTATCCTATTATGCACATTGTTTTTCATTGTGTCATTGATACAACACTAGCTACACCTCTAAAATTCAGCAAAATAAATTTATGCCATATGCTATTTAGATGTCACAAGGAATATACAAATGCAAAACCAAATATGCAAAGAACAACTTTTTATGGGAACAATTTTTTAAAAGAACTGCTGCTTCTTTGAAAATCAGTATGACAGAGGGACAGAGGATGGATAGGATAAACACTAAACTAATAATCCTTGATTTTCTCCAGCTTTTTTATTAATCCATGTGTAGATAAATTCAGGTGCTGCAAACAGCTAGCAATGATCATATTACATGCAAAGAATGCATTGAATCTGTAGCTTTTTTTCAGTCTCACTTTCTTCCAAGCACTGGATAATAAATTGAACTGGAATGTCAAGATCCCATCTGAGTTGTTTCATAATCTCAGAATCAGAAGTGACAAAATTATGATCACATTTTATTATATTTTTTGCTCTAGGGCTGCCAAGAAGTTAAATCAACTCTCAGATCTCACCAACTAGAATAAATTACATTCCAAAGTAGAGGTTGGTACCAAAACTACAGTAAAGCATCCAGTGTACATTGCCTCAAAAGCTTTAAATCAAGTTACATGGAAACATCCTTTTTTTTCCCCATCTGCAGTTAAGGTTAATAACAGAATAGCTTGTGTGTCACCAGAGTGTGTCTCTAGGGCAAATTCCCCATCAAAATGTTGTCTTCATTTCAACAGGCAGCTGCTTCCCACCTGATTTGCTGTATCTCTGTGATTTAACAAGGAGCTGTCACACATCACTGAGTACAAAGCCACTACTTTCTACAGTATTATGTTGCTGAATAGCACAGTCTGATGCTGGCCATTAGGAACATACCTGCTGATACTGTCCTCCTAAACAGGATTGGGTTGGCCACAAGCACTAGCAGGAGTGGGACATAGGTTGTGATGTAATGTGGGATTGCATGTTCCAAGCCATTTTCACAGCTGAGAAGAAATCATTTAAAGATTATGCTTTTTTTTCCCCACAGCTCACTTTTCTGGTTTTCTATCTATGCCACCTTTAACTTTAAAAAAAAAAAAAAAGAGAGAATGAAGCAATTGATGCAAAAATTTTAATTCATAGACCTTTAGCACCAGTTCACATAGGACATAGAGTTGATTTTAAACATACACTATCTGTGGATTTTTCTCAAACTGAAAAGAAAGCTAAAACCAGGAGTGGGAGAAGGGTGTCTCATAGCAGAAGCTGTATCACAGCACAGCCAAGCTTGTATTGCCTGGCATATTTCTTCAGGGCTCCCTGAAGCCCAGGCAGGTATTTCAAACATAATCGCTGACTCAGTGGGACATCCCTGGCAAAGATCAAAATGCTCAACTTTTGAATGTCTGCCTCTAAAGCTGACCAAAAGACATTCAAATGACCAGAGAGTGCCATGATTTCACATTCTGTTTCCAGAGCCTGCTTACCTGGAGAGAGAAGGGTAGTAAAGCAGAGCAATCCCCTCCACGCAGAGCATCACTGCAAGGCCCCATGTCATCATGTGGTACAGAACAATTGTACTGCAAGCACCAAACACCACAGGCACAATTAAAGATCATTTATACTACTTTTATTAATCAAATAAAAATTTTATATCAATTTAATATGAAATGTTACACTTCCCACATTGCAAGGTAAAAATAAGACCCTCACTGAAAAAGAGCTTTACAGACAGGAAATGGTGCAGAACAACATTGGCAGTGTGTTAAACTAAGGAAAGCAGGTGGGTGGGGGCAGTCCTTCAGAAAAAGAATGAGCCAAAGCAGTTATTCCAGCTTGCACATGGAAGTCCTGTCCCCTCAAACCTGTAGGGTGGAGGGGACAAGTCTTCTTCCCTAGCCTTATTATTGAGAAGGAACCCCTGCATCTTTTATTTCTCCTGCAGAGAGCAAATTAGCAGATTAAAATTTAAGAATGGAGCTGAACAGTCAAATAAACCATCCTTTCATGATTTGAAGAAAATAATGTTTAACTTTCAGAGCTGGATACTGCTCCTGTCTTAGTGAGATTCAGATCTGTTTGTAGAAAGTCTTTCGGTGTTTACTCTGATCTCAGATTCAAGCTCAATACACATGAGTTTTTTGGTTAACAGATACGGGGGAAGGAGGCAGTTCCCAGCTGTTTGACTAGAACTATGAGACTTTACAAAATCAGGTTTATCCTCAACAGTCTAAAGTTAATTCAAAAAGCTTCATTTTGGTTACATCTGCAGAAGAACCACATCCTTAGTACCTGACTGCTCTGTATCATCTGGGAACAGAGTCACGTAATTCCACTTTTATCAGTAGCAACTGAAGGCTATTTTGCTCTTCTAACAACCGACTTAGAAACATCTTTTATTTTCTGTCTGGCATTAAAGCATGGTACTTTCCAAAGGGTTTAGCATTTCTGTCACGAGCATTGCAGAAAAATATATGATAAAGGCACCTTCTTCTTCTGAGGGATTTTAAAAGTGTGATCAGAAGGGCAATAATGACCACACTCACTGAGAAATAGATAAAATGAAAAAAATCAGAAAAAATAAAAAAAGGGAATTAACTATGTGAAATTAGCTGTATGAACTTCTGCACTTTCCTCCTCCAGATTTTCCATTTTCAGGATAACACAATATTTTTCCTGCAAGAATCAATTTCAGACACAGGGTAGGGACAAAAATAGTCATCACATTGCCATAAAGTTTATAGACCACAATTTGCTCCATATTTTTCCAAAGGTTAAATGAATTCAGTTACTTTTAAATTCAAGATGGACATAAATCAGTATCTGAGCATAGCCCTGGAAATTTAAGCGCGTAGAACACCACTCTTCCCTATCATTACCCGGTAACTATATGAGCATCAGATGGTTGTACAAGACTCACTTATACTCTTAGGCAGCTGCAAACAGAGACACACAGTGTTGGAGGGGAAAAAACAAATTCAGAGCTTTAGCTCTGGTACCTCAGTCCAGCTGATCTTCTCACCACCAAGTAAGAATCAACAGCATAGCAAAACAACCACCAGAAGCCAGCGCTATATAACAGCTGGATCCACATCTAGAGGGGAAAGAAGTGCCAAATGTCACAGCTGCTTCTCCAGTACCACTGGGGCAGGGAAGGGACTCAAACCTTTGGCTGGGTGATTTGTTCTTTAAATGTGTGTATTTTCCAGATGAGATTATGAAGCAAGAAATCTTACTCAAAATCACAGGAACAGCATTGTTGTAGCCTATGGGCCAAATTGTAGGTAAATTGAACTGTATTTGTTTTCACAGCTTATTTTCTGATTTAGAAAACCTGTCATTTACCTCTCTGTTCCTAACCTGAAAGTGGTAAGTGAAGCCCAAAGAAATTTATAGCGAGGACATTTTAATTTTAGGTTAAAATTTCAGTTGTTTCTCAGCAGCTGAGGCACAAAAATATAACTGAGGTCAGTCATAACCACAGTGTGCCTATGCATTTGTGGGTTCTGCACGTGATGGGTGTTTTCTCCACACAGAAGGTGGTCATCAAAAAAAAACCTCATTAATGAGAAAATAATTTACCCTTTGGAGGAATATCCCTACTGAACTCCCTGAGTGATTTCTTCAATAAAAATACAAAGGAAACAGGTTCAAGTCAAGCTAAATTCCACAGCATTCTTAAGTTGACCCTATGCATTTTTCCCATGAGCTTATATAAGAAAAGTGACCTTTCTTTGCCACTCTATATAAATTCCACATTTCTTCCCCACAGGAGCTGATTCTTTTTAATAGTCTGGGAGTGTTTTAATATTCATGTTGTCTTCCCTCCAAGCCATTTTTCAGTTCTTATCTGAATATCCTTCATCACAGCTCTTTAGTAGCATCATTTTACATCTGGAAATCAGCATACTTGTTACTAAGCCAAACATTGGTGAATAGAGATCTAGCACTCCTTCCTCCAAAAGGCAAATCAAGCTGGGAAATATTTCCTTTCACCATGGGTGTAGACCCTGCTTCTAGTAATTTGTGGCATGAATTATTCAGTACTTAATTCAAACACCATGATATTTTCCTAGTGCACAGGAGGCAGAAAATAAAATCCCAGTCTTCCTTCTAATACACTTTACCCACAGCACTCAACATGCAACTTCATAATTACATTTACATATTTGCTGCAGTTGAAAAATGCGCAATTTACTACCCATACACACACATATACAAAAATAAACTGCAGCATCTTTCCAGAAAATCCAACACAGAAAAAAATATCTCCGAAAATAATATAAATCAAATGCACTTAAACCCTGAAGCTTCATATGACATCTTACGTTTTAGCAAAATGACACACCTTGCTGCAGTGCCTGAAAGGGTACCCCTCTGCAAACCATTCAAGGGAGATGTCTAAAAGCTTCACTATTTGGAGTTTGTATAGGTCTGTGATTAACAGAAATAACACAATAATACTAAAACCAAAATAAAATAGAATCGGAAACATTTTGTTAACTCACAAGAGAATATGTGAGGGGAAATGAGTGGAAGAAGGGCTATTTTTCATTCCAATATAGTTGAATCTAAATTTAAAATTACTCAAATTACAGCATTTTCCTGGAGCACAAGTAAGGGAAAATAAAAATTGTGGTAGACCACTATGCTGCTTACCATCTAACCTGAAACTCAAATGAAAAACAGTCTGCATATAGTACCCTGTCATGTTTAAAAATACATTTTTATGTGTTATGGACCAGAAAGTGAAACATGAAGAAGATCAGGTTATGAGTAGGACATTCTTGCTGCAAGATATTGAAATCATTGGTTCTTTCTCAAAAAAAAAAACAACAGCATTTGCATCTAATAAGCAAAACTTAAAGATGTATGATAGAGTTGAGAATTGATAGATGTATACAATTTATATCTGTGCTCATGGCACAAAACTATCCTGTTTGAAACTACTTTTATATAGGCATATAAAGCACAGTGAGCTCAATTTGGCACATATTGCTTTATTTTAAAACTATTTGAGCTGAATAATTTTCTTTACATGCAACCTATACCTTTCTACGTTGCAAACTTTAAATTGCAAAGCTAATACTGCTAATGCTCATGCATTAATTCATTGGAGACCCTGCATTTCTGTTGCATCTGGGTAAAGTGATGATCTGTCTTACTTGTCATTCTCAATGTTTTGTTAAAAATTGTGACCTTTATTCTTGTACAGTAAAGCTCAAATTATATTTCCCAGTATTTTGATTGTAAAATTTGGAACTGAGTTTCAATCCATACTTTTGGAATGCATTTACATTTTCTTATTTTTACATTTTAATCCAGAAGATATTTAACTAGACTTGGCCAGATGCAGTCATTGAGATGCAGCCCAGCAATCTGAGCCGAAATCCCAAATGGCAGGGACAGACCTGCTGCCAGCAGATTTGTGGCTTTGAGTATATTTATCTTGTTGTCCCTCTGTGTCTAAAACACACACTCTCATGGCACAAAAGCTAATTTGAGCTACCCAAGTTGCTGTTTTAGGAGGTCCCTGCTGCCACCACACAGGCTGTAGTTTCTGACAGAGAAGGACAGATAAATTCGCACTGCCGGTGCAGCGTAGCACTGGGGCATTCGTGGTGCTGTGCCAGCACAAACCCAGACTGTGGTTCACAGCCCTTTTGGGCTTGCTTGTATCCTTTTGGTTGCATGTCCCTGACTCTGGTGTACTGCTGGCAGTCCTGTGAGGAGTGAACATCTCCGGGCTCAGTCGGACCCGCGCTGCCCCACATCCTTACACCCTGCAGCAGCACCTGCCTCCCCGACCCAGAGGGAGGCATGAATGCACTTGCAGGGGTGTGGCAGAGGCTGAAACCGTCATATCCAGGCTCTGACTCACAGCCACATTTCCTTTTGGACACAGCAGTTTTCCTTTCAGATTCCCCCCCGGAGGGACTCTTCACTGGGAGCAGAAGAAAGGGGGGGTGATCTCTGTACCTACCGCGCTCCCCACACAGAAAGTGGAAGGCCACACGTCAGTCCCGTTGGCCACAGAAATGTTAGCTATGAAGGCCGGGAAGCCCAGCCATACGCTTGACCTGAAGATCATACCTAAAGAAAAAAAAATGTATTAATTCTTTGAATCTGCTGGTGTGATTTGAGTCACATGCTTTTCCATGGCCACATATTTTACATCGCAGCCCAGATTTTGTGCAGGAAGGCGACGGCTGCAGAGGAGCGCAGCAGGGACAACTGTGCTATTTAAATGTCAGTGTTATCATTCAGGGAAAGTAGCCCCAAGAGCTGGAAACTGCTGTGACTTAAACTGTTACATTGATTAGAATCTCACTTATTTAGAGATGCTGTCACATGCTTCCCTAACATAAACTGGGAAGCATTTAATACAGTGACATAAAACACTGGATTTTATTTACCAGCATATATTCATCCACTGATATTCGCTTCTATATACAATTGGCCATTGAAGAAAAAAAGTTATTTTTCACTTTTCTCTGCCTTCATTTTACAAGCAGCCCTTTTCCTCTGTCACATGACTGAGCAAAGCAACACTTCTGAATTAGGTAACAACAATGCCCTTTTTAAAAATTAGCTTAGAGGTTGTTAGTGAGGTTTTCTGAGTTTGCTTGAAATAAAGCATCAACAAGAAACAGAACAAAATTACCAAGTTTCCCACCAAGAACAAACTGTTTTCTACCCACCAAAGTAAGTCTAATAAAAAAAAATAAAAATGGATAACTAGTTTGAGTTTGCCAGTGAAAGAGGAAGGCAGAAATAAAAAAACTTTATCTATTGTTGGCTTCATCTGATTGAAAGGACCTTTTCCAGGTGTATGTACATATGTCTTTTCCGTATCTCTTTACTTCCTTTATAATCTTTGGTTTAGTATTGGTACTTATTAGGTGGGAGAGAACCTGGCTGGGTTTGAAAGGAGAAAAGACCTGAAACACAAAGACACACAGATACACAGACACAAAAACAGCCCCCAGCAGTGAGACAAAACAGCACTATTACCTAATGTGAGGGGGGGAAAATGCTACTGTAGAAACAAATTTGTCCTGTATTTTCATAGCACGTGTCATGATAATTTATACCAAATTTGACAGTAAATGACCAATGAGAAAAATTACCAAATGACTGATAGGACAGCTCAAGACACACTAGTTTCATTTTGACTCATTTATTCTGTTTTAGTCTCCACTGGTTTATTCCTCTAGACTATCAGCCAGGGTCTAGGCAGGGTCTACCTTAATAAGGTAGCTTTACTCACATTTCAAAAGCCTGTGTCCATCTCTCTGCAGCTGCAAGCCAAACTAATTTTCTGTCAATGTGATGTGCCCAGAGAAACAACTGGCACATGAGCAAGAGGCACACTTGGTCCAAAAGGATTCGGAGGCATAGAGGAGAGTGGTTTTAAAATTCAGTCCTATGGATTAGCTAAATGTTTGATGTAATGTGCTGCCTCACCTCCACTTTTATGCCTTACTCTGAGAACTAGTTGCCATTCTAGATTTTAATTTGTTTTAAAGCAGGGATTTTGGTGTAGATTTGTCAAGGTATAACTTCCATGGTATAACTATTAAACTTTACCCCCCCAAGCCCCATAATTTCCTGATCTCACTTAGTGCAAATCTTCCTGTGAACAAAAACAGCATGCTTCTCTCAGAAATCTCTGCTGTCCACTCACCAGCTCCTTTTGTCTGTGGTACCACAGAGAAAAAAGAACCTGTTACAGCAATGGCAAGAACATCAAGAACATCAAGGACATCAAGGTGGCACTTACCCAAGCTTCCAAGGATGTCACAAATAGAGATAAGGAGAAGGATGGTGGAGGAGGAGGAGGCTTTGGGCATCTTCCGTGGACTCTGTCCTTTCTTTGGCAGGAGCTGCAGGATGGTCAGTAGCAGGCTGATGGAGGCACTGCCAATGCAGACTCCGCAGAAGACTTCAGGCTGGAAGTTCATCACCAGCTGTGTAGCTGCATCCCGGTTTGGGCAGCAGTAGGTTTCTAACCTTGGAGAAGCCATGAAACGTCCGACTGGTGGAGGTGCCTCACGAGCAGAAGAAAATGCTGTTGCTCCACCAAGGCAGCATTCACTTTTTCTTCACCCTCCCCATTAGTCCTCGGTGGTGAGAATCACGCGATTGATGGATCATGTGCTGCTGCTGCTGCTGCTGCTGCTGCTGCTGGAAGTAAATCCCCTAGAGCTGCCTTTCTTAGCCTCTCCTAGCAAGGAGATCAGATCTGAACAAGAAAACACAGTGTAATCTGAAACATGTCCCATGCTTGCTCAGAGCCATTGGCAACAGTTCACTCACATATTTCTGCTTGCACGGTATGTGATACAGGAAGACTTAAACTCATCAGAGCATTGAAGATGGTTTAAAATAAATAAGGATGCAGATACCATAGCAGAAGCATTACAATTTAATTGTGTTTCTCTTTAGCCCCATCCCACACAGCATCCTTTAATTACTGCAAATTAATTGAAAAGATGAGTCCAGACACAAGCAGTCCCAGTCCTAACAGGGAGGAGCAGGGATATAAATCCACTCCCTAACCTAAATCTCAGTTTTAGTGATCCAACCCATCCATCTCTGTAAATAAAATTAGAAACACGATACCCTGTCACTGTAGAAAGAGATTAGATGGGGAAAAAAAATATTAACCTCATCCTATTTAAACTGCAAGCACAAAAAATCCTCTCTTTAGTCAGTACTCTCTGCATTTGATCAGCTTGACAGGGAAAATTCCAGGACTCAGGATTTCTCAATAGCTTATTTCTCTATCTCTCTCTCTTTTTTAAATTTGGTAAGGATTTAATATGAAAACAAGAACTAGACCTGTAATATTTCTTTTTGCTTCATAAGCTAGACAATATCTTTTAAGACAGGGGTCCTGCTACATATAGCATCAAATAAACACTATCATAAACACAAAAAGTAATTCTTCCCTTTAAACTAAAAGTCTCAAGCTCCCTGTATCAGCCCTCATCCTTCAAGAAAATTTGTTTATAGGAACATATTCAGCAAATACAGGAGGGAACATTGCCAAAAGACTCAAAGTCACCAGAATGTTAAATAACACAGCCATGGATTTTATAATTAGTCCCTATAAGAACAAATTACCTAGCCTTTTTTTTCCCCCAACAGTCTAGCTTATTTTTTTTGCAGAAATTATGAGGGGCAACTGAATGAGATGGAATGTTTTGTGTGCAGTGTTTATGAACACAGTGTGTTTGCCCTCAGTAGGGAAAACAGCTGAAGCCTTGGGTGAAATGGTGCCTGCTGCCCTCATTAGCCAAGATACCTCATACACTTGATCCCAGCAAAAGAACAAACTCCACCAAGTTCGTCAGCCTGCTGGTGGGGTCTGTGCAGCCTTCCAGTGCTAGACAGTGGTGCCAGGGCTGAGGGGGCAGCTGGAGCCCAAGCTGCCTGGCCTGATGTGTGTCCACCCACCCTGCTGCCATGGGACTCCCCAGGCTCTGCTTGGGCTATGGCACTTGAAGAACAGGATGTCAGCCTGCAAAGCCAGACTCCTACACTCCTAAAATGGATGGCCATACATCAACAAAGGGTTTGAACTCTTGCTACAGTCAACTGAGGTCTTAGGCAGCCAAGCTTACAGTCCAGACTGTGTCTAGAGAGCTATTCAGGTCTTCAGAAAATAAATGCACAGAGTGAGCTGAGGAGGCTCCTGTGACCATAATATGAATTTAGGCATATGCGTCATCAAAGACTCTGTAACACAAGTGGTTGAGCTGAATGTTTTGCCAAGTGTTTTTGCTGCTTTCCAGCATAGATTTCCCTGCTCCTTGGGTGAGGACAGGTGAGTGACCTGAATGTTGCAATCCTACAGTTTGTTGCTACCATGTATACAAAAACATACTGGGGACAGCAAGGCTGCAAAATCAGATTGCTCTGTTCCAAAAATACAAACTCATGCTGAGGTTGTCAATACAAGCCTCTATCATCAGTACAAGTCTGGGACTCCTCAAACCTTATTCCACTTCTGCTAGAGCAAGGGTGCATGGAGTTGCCACATTTCTGTCAAGATACTGCATTGAAACTTACCTGGCTACTAAAGAACTATTACAATTCACAGAGACGGATTATTAGTTCAAATTAAGACATTGTATGCCACATATACAACTCAAAGACATATAAACGAAAAAAGTTTGCTCTGATTTGAAGAAAAAATTATATTGCCTGGCTTATACTTAGAAGAGCAAAACTTTAAAATACTAGACAGAAACTGTTTAATAGAAGCCTTTCATTCTCACTGTCAGTTTTTAAAATTGTTCCCTTCACTATTTCTGTTGCCATTTTCTTTCTTTCAAAAATTTGAAAAGCATGTCAAGTCATTATCCTGACTGTTTGTTCTGGCTTACAGATAAGAATGGTTTGTGTATTTTGCTTTTTCTGCTTATTGTTTGTTTTCATTGATCTTGACTGTGATCTTCTAGTTTGCCCATGTGGATTTACCATTTTATTATAACTTCTCTCTCCTTTTTTTTTCAGCCACTTTGAAACTACCTTCATTCCTCAATTGTACTCCTATACTCTGGAGATTATTTTTTTTATATGTCCATTCTTTTCTCACAACAGTTTTGCCAGCTGTGCCCCCTCCTTTTATTGCTTTACTTCTCTGAGTGGAGCGGTGGTTTTTAATCTTTTCTTCTGGATTCCTTCCCTCCTGTAATTTCTCAGGATTTGATTCCATAGTTACTTCAGAGGGAGTATGTGGTTTTTATTGGAAGCAAAGCACATGACCTGTAGCATACCTAATGCATAAAAGAAAATTAAGTGACCCATGAATGAACTGATACTTACTGTGATAGAAGTAGAGGTATCTAAAATGTGCCAGCATTAGAGGCTGAGTAGGAGATGCATCTAAACTAATGAGGCAGGCAACACCTCAGCTGGTAAGAGCCAGGTAGTCTCTGGTTCTCATTGCTGGGCTCAAAGTATCGAGAGTTAGAACAGTCAAAGAAATTCAAAGCTGGTTTGGCAGTCTTACACTCAAGATTAATTTGGCTTCTTGTGATTATGAAAATAAGAGGAAAAAAGCTGGGGACAAAGGCAAAAATAGTGAAAGAAATATGAGAATCATTATTTTGTCTTGTTAAGGACCTTTATTTAGTATTCTATAAAATTTACACTGTTCTAGAGCTCCTAATTCCCTTCTGTCTGACTTTATTGACACAATTCTTACTTCTGCCAGTGTATAAAAAAGACAGACATTGTATGTCTCATTTCTGCACCAAGACAGGATCTCAGCTAAGCAAATGGTATAGCTTGGAGACAACCATTAGCATACATAGAAGAAATGCTGAAAAAAACCCTCCTGGCATTGCAAACAGCAATCACTCACACTCACAGCATAAGTACAACATTGCACAACACTGAAAATTCCAGTCACGAATTTGGACATTGGCAAGAGTGTGCTCAAGGATGAGAACAATACTGTGTTCCTTTGGAAACAGCTATGTGCTCCATACTTTTAGAAATACCTACTCACTCTCTTCTTGGATCCCAGTTTGTGATCATCTTTAAGATGAAACACTGGCTTGCCTGCTTCTAAGGGAAAGCAATAGGTTTAAAAAAATATGACAGGCATGCACTTCTGTTGTTAAGGAGTGTGGGTATGGCTCATGTTTGAGTGTGCAGCTGCACATACTTTAATCACTGTTTTAATTAAGTCTGGTACTACAGCACTGGTTTACAAAGGACAAGGAAATTTGTGGATATAGGGACAAAGGATACTTTGGTTTTGTTTATGTGTACAGTTCAACTCATCACTGCCTGACAGATCCCAGTGAAGATCTTAGCTACCTCACAAAGGTAAAAGCTATATTTTGTCAAAGTTCAGGGTCTCATAGTCTTTTACACATTACCTGACATAACATTTCCCAAACTGAAGAAAGCTAGGTCTGTCTTGAGGCTCGATGCATGCAGTTATTATCTCTCCAACACATCCTGCAATATGTTCCTTAAGGCCTTGGCAAACAAATCTTCTATATGATTTAACAGCCTTCTTTATTTCATCTATCCAGACCTTTTGCAATTAGATTTAATTTGGAAGAAACTGTGAGACATGTCCTTCCCATACTTAGCAGTACTAGTTTTTTAAAAGCTAATTTTAAACCTTTAACTTAATGCATTACTGAAATGGAGAAATTCACACTCCATTCTTCATATTTCTAGTTTTCTGTAAAATTAGGTATCTTAGAACAATAGTGATATTCAAGGTGTAACATCTATCATGATTATAACAGCTCCATTAAAAACTACTGAAAGAAAAACAGAAGTATCACTTCCCTTCCCTCAGTGTTTTAAATATAATTATAGAATTTTAAAATAATAATTTGCTTTTAAGGATGGTGAATATTAATTTCAGGCTCAGGATAAATGCATCTCATTTGTATAAAAGCAATAATCTTTGAGTTCTTTTTGTTTTCTCAAAGAATAAAAACATAAATACATGACATTAGTGTACATTTGAACAGCTCAGTAACTGAGTATATTTGACTGATGCAATCAAATTACTTGTTTTGTATTTTATTGACTTTATTATATACTTTCTCCAGGGAAATGTTATCTTACCTACCTGGCTTTTGTGAAGAATCATACACAAATTAGTTTTTGAAACTGTGCCTTTAATGCATTTAAAGTAGTAAACAAGATTCATACAGATGAAGTACAAAATAACTGAGTAGAAAAACGTATCCATAAAACTGAAGAAAATTATTTTGGCTTAGAGATTAGAAGTAAAAAATCCCTGATTCTCTATGCCAATGCTGAGAATATTACAGTCTTTGAACTTGCATTAAGACGGATTTTTGTGGCCAGTCTCATTTCTGGACGAATTCCACCCTTAGTCATTGTCATCATTATTTTATTTCACAGAAAAAAACGATACCTCAGTTTCAGTACATGTGTAATAAAGAGACCTTGTCCCACACCTACACACACTACAAGACACAGTTTGAATAGGAACTGATTGATGAAAAGGACTGTGAAA